CTGTGATGGGATTTTGCCTGTGTGTGTATGGGGTGAGCTGTGTAATGATTGATGAATCCCTTAATTAACTCCCAACAAGTCAAGATTTATGGCCTCATATCTTTTTCTCCTGACACATCTGTGTTTGACACTTTTGAAGACATGGATAAGCCCTTTCTCCAAAGCTCTTGTAGGTATCTGAAATGTTTCTGAGGTATTTTGCTTAATGTAACAAGATTAGAGTTTTATGACATAAAATTTATTAAATTTTATGGCACGAACAATCGAATTGGAAAGGATGCAGGTTGTGTGCTAGAGGGCACTATCTCCTTGAGTTCTGAATACCACTTCAGATTTATTTTGGGAGTACAATCATGGATGAAATGAACCGAAACCAATGAACAAATGGAGATGGAGTGGGGGACACTTAAGTGAGGTTCTGTTAAAAATAGTAATAATAAAAAAAATGCAGCTATGGAAATATCACTTTTGTGAATTCAAGGGAAAAAGCAAACAAGAAAAATAGTCGTATTTAGCAGCGTGAAATTATTTGGGTGGAACCAATAAGTGTAGGAAACAATTCATGTGGATGTAGTGTAGCTCTTACTTGCTCCAGTGGGAAAATCCAGCCATGCTGAAGTCCCTGCAAAAACTCTGAGATCAATAGACACAGGGTATCAGTTTGAGGCTGTAAAGTCTGTTACAAATTGAAGGGCACGAAGAAATATTTGGAGAAACTGTTGTAATATGAATCACATAAAATATTTGTTGGATAAGACTGAGTTAGAACAATGAGGTTTTGACTTTGCTGAAAAAACATTCTTCCTACCAGGAAAAGCATTTATTTAATGAAAATTGAACAGAAAGCATGTTGGGTTTTTTAACTGCAGTTTCTGCATATTACAAAGCCCTTCTGAAAACAGGTCTCTTTACAGGGAACAGTATCAAATTTGAATTCATTACCAGAATTGAATCTTCAGTTCCATCCCAACCACTGATAAAATCAAATACAGAGATGCATTTCATAATTCCAATGTGTCTGTGGAATGGCCTGGGTACAACCTGTGTCCCAGTGCTTGAGAACTTTGCAGATTTAGGTTCTCTCAAAAATTGCCACCTACCTGTTTTTATTCAGTAGAAGTGATTAATGACATTTCAAATGCAATTCTTCTTGAAACAATGAAGTTGCAGCAGATTTCATCTGCAGTGACACCTTTTACATTTGGAATCTGGTGTGCTGTATTGCTTTTGTACTTCTCTACGTTTCTGAGTTATATCTTAGGGTTTTGGGGTTTGTTTTTTTTAAATCCTATCCATAAATTGATGCTTCCTGTTCCATTGTAAATCTTCTTTCAGAGTGATGTAACTGAAAACCGTTCCGAGTTTAAATTTGGGGAAAAGATCTGGAAGTCACGTGAGCTGTGAACTGTTGTGTTGTCACTGAGGGCAGATCCAGGATGTTTGCAGTCCTTTGTTAGGATGGGATCACTCCAGTGCTTCATCAGACCTGGATCTGTTTAAAGGAGCTCAGTTTCAGATAATGTTGCTGCTCACAAATTAGCTGTTTCCCTTTCCTTATTGTTTGTGGTGGGAACTCTGCTTGCATCTTAGATGTGGAATCTGTTAAGACCTGGCATTAGCTCAGTAGGATAAACAAGATTTATGAAAAGAAGAGTATTAGGGGATGAGTGATGTGGGGGCATATAAAATTTGGGAAGTGGACCAGTCAAGCTGTAGAAATGATGAAAGATATTTGCAGATGACTTTTTCTTGTTTCACGTTTTCTCCTTGGGAACCTCTCAGAGGTTTGATCCTTTGGTAGTTATTATCCTTTAGGAAGACATTTCCAAAAGTAGATATGGATCTATTAATTAATTTATTTAAATCTTCCATTTCCTTGTGGAAATTTCCTAGATGCTCATAAGGAGTAAGACATTTTGGTGGAATGATTTTTTGTCTGACTCAGGCTGGCTTTGGACAGAGCTGCCTGAACACAAATTGTTTTTGATGTCTGAGCTGTCCAGGTTTGTGTGTCCATTTCTTTGGAAGACTAACGCAGATTAACACCAAATGGATTTTTGTCTGACTCAGGCTGGCTATGGACAGCTGCCTGAACACAAATTGTATTTGATGTCTGAGCTGTCCAGGTTTGTGTGTCCATTTCTTTGGAAGACTAACGCAGATTAACACCTCAGCTTTAGCCATTTTAGTGATTTGTTAGTCCTCTAGGGTGGTGATGGGCACGTGGCTTGTAATTTAAACTGGATGTTTTAGAGACAAAAGGAAAAGTTTCTTCTACCCTTTCTGCTTTCACTTCAGTTTGGTCTGCAATCCATCCTGTAGGTTTTCATTTTAGATCAAAAAGCATAATAATCTCTGTTATTGCAAGTGTGTGGAGGTGGACACCTCTATTATCTTCCTTGTCTGTTTGTATAAAATTCCCTGCAGAAAATTATTTCATCCCTGTTGGGAACAGTGACAAGCAGAGGAAGAAGATCTGAAACTCTAAATTCGCATCTGAAGTTAACAGAAGAGCTTTATTTCAGCGTGATATTCCAACTTTCCTTGTGAAGCAATGTGACAGAATCTGTGTTATTCTAGGTTAACAGCAGTAGGAGTTCTTGACACAGTTTGAGTATATAATATATAATCCAAATCATCAATACAGAGCAAGGCATCCTCTCTCTCTGTAATTTATTGTCAGAGTGAATTGCAGTGGAGACTTTTGTGCGTGGCTTACAATATTTTCAGTCATTTTATCAAATATAAATGTTCTAAAGTATAGAAAATTACTGTGGAATAATTGAGTAATGATCTTGTGTCCGTCCCTTTTTGTTTGCCAAAATTGAGACAACTGCTTTGTGCTGATTTTCAGGGAGATTTTGTCAATGCTGAGGCTTCTATTAAAGTAGTGTTAAAATGAGTAACCAAAAAACTTAAATTCAGTAGCAAATGTCAATCTTAGTGCAGTACAATGCAAAATATGAATAATTCACATTAACTTTAGAAGGGAGTTGTGTGGTTTCTGCAGAAGGGTTTGAGATCTGTCACATCAAACATAGCTGTAAAATGCTGAATTCAGTGGGCTACAGAAAACTGCCAGTAAGAGTCTATCTGGTGATCTCTGTCTTTGTGCATATGCTTTGCTGCAGACACGTAGGTGGGAAAGCCTAGAAGACAGAATTCAGGTAGGATGTATGAAGTGTTAGTCTGTTGGACTAAGTCAGACATTAATAGAAAATACAGATTGGTTCTCAGCACTGGCAGTAGGTGCTGATCAGAGCAGGCAGCGTGCAGCTGCATGGGGGTTCTGGTAGGGGGTTTTTTTGTCTGAGTTTTTGTTGTTGGTTTTTCTGGGTTTTTTCCTTTTTTTTTTTTTAATATAATCTAACTTGGCTCAGGAGGCAAGGCTCAAAATGAGATCATTAGAAGCAAAGTAAGTCTTAACAAAGGGCTGTTTAAAGTCACTGTTTGTTTTCAGACCCAGTTGACTGCTGCTAAGAGCCATTCCGTGCTCAATATCCCAAATCCTGTGGACATGCTCCACCTCCAGCAGCCCCAAACACGGACCAGGAGGCTGCTGGGCTCTCCAAATGCAGCCCTTTAACTGTGGAGTGGAAAATAAAAAATGGGCTAATCAGAATCATAAATGTGAGATTTTTGAGGAGGAGCACTATTAATTCAGCCCCTTTTTTAACTTTTGCATACAAATAATCCTCAGTTTCCTCGTTTATAACTTTATTTATTTTTTTTCCCAGTGAAACATTTCCCTATTTTTTATTTCTTCTTGTGGATGTGCCTGGAGGATTTCTCCTCATCCTGCTCCTTGCAATGCCCCTGGTTAGCACAGGGATGGACATACCCTGATTTTCATGAATGAGGTTGCTGTAATTAATCCCAGAATTTGTCTGCATTTTAAGACTTCACTGTACCCCCCTCTATTTTAGAGACCAAGCTGGAAGCATTCTGGGTTCTGTAAGATTTTCAGTAGTGCTTGTCTTGAATGATACTTGAATTTGCCCATGATTTAGGTTTCTTTCAGTGTTTCCAAAACTGAAAGATAAACAAGTCCTATCAAACATAATCAAAAACTTCACAATGTAGGCCTGAATTTCAAGTCAGTATTTCTGTGTGGTTTGTCCAGTGTGTGCTCTAGATATCTTCCTTGTGTATCCTTTTTTATGTAGTTATAGATATAAATTATATCTATCTATTATATCTATAACTACATCTATATAAATGATATCTATATCTATCTATATAGATATAAACCCATTTTAATGGGTTTTTTTTTCTGATCTATCTATCTATAGATAGGAAGAATTTGATACACAGATGGAAAGATTTGATAGGAGGTCTGCATTCAATCTTGACCTTCATTGAAAGCCCCTGACTTTATGTTGTCAAAAAGCTTAGATTATTAATGTCTAAATGTTTAATTTTTTTTACTATACCAGATCTGCAAACCTGGAAAGATCCTTGCAACTTGACTGTAACACTCAGTTGCTCACATGGGTGAAATTTTGTAAACACAGATGTTTTGGCCTGCTAGCAAGTTCTTTCATTGTATTGTATTTTATTGTACATTATTTTTTTTATCAGTTGTGGTCGATAATGAGATGCAGATGATTATTCCTTAAAAGCTAGGTTGACAATAGCTTCTATCGGGAGACATTCTATCTTCATAGAGTCCCTTGCAAATGCAAAACTAGATGGGTATTTTTTAAAAGGAATTGCATTTCATTATGCAGTCTTAGGTGAATTTTCATGTTTAAGAAGCCAGAATACAAGAGAGTGCTATATTAGCGTATTATTCTCACAACAAACAAGGCACTGTTCTGTTGCTACCTGCTTGGCCATTGTTCCCAATTGTGTGTGCTTTGCAGTGGTATTTGGATGGTTTCCTGCTCTCTGCCAGCACAAAAAAGGCATTTCTGTTACAATGGCCCCTAACCACACAATGACGGCATTAAGGATTTATTTGGAGGTTTCATTATTTTCTCCTCTTTTGTTCCTTCCAGGATGTCTTCCAAGCGACCAGCCTCTCCGTATGGGGAAGCAGATGGAGAGGTAGCCATGGTGACAAGCAGACAGAAAGTGGGAGAAGAGGAGAGTGACGGGCTCCCAGCCTTTCACCTTCCCTTGCATGTGAGTTTTCCCAACAAGCCTCACTCTGAGGAATTTCAGCCAGTTTCTCTGCTGACGCAAGAGAACTGTGGCCATAGGACTCCCACTTCCCAGCACAACACAATGGTAGGTTTGCTTTGCTCTATTGTGCTTGCATCCATGCTCTGAATTGTGCCTCTGCAGCAGCTTGGCACCCGGATCTGCCCTCGCTGGGGTGCTCGGGGCTCAGCCCCACGCACAGAACCTGCCCTGGAGAAGCTCCAGCAGTGCAGGCCGCTCCTCACCTCTGCCTGGTGGCGTTTGGGGTGCTGAAATGTGTTAGCTGCACTGATGGGAGCTGCAAGTGTGCGTTCAGCAAACACCAAAGGGGTTTGGAGCGCTCCAAGTGAGAGTCACGTTTGGCACGGAGTCTGAAACGGGGCCCTGGTGCCAAGTTTGTGCAACAGTAAAGCTTGAAAGACTGTATAAAGAGTAAAAAAAAAAAAGAAACTGAATTCTGGTGACTTAAAAACTTACATCTGATGTGTAATTCACGTCACAGATACCCACAATAAAATTTTCCTGTGCTTATGAAATTAAATCGACGTACTGCTCTTTGAGTTTCCGCTCTGCAACTGAGGCTGAGCACTTAATTCCTGGCAGGCAGCAGTCCAGGGGAAGCCCAGAACTGGCTGTATCTTAAAGAAGACAAAACAATGCCCTGTTCCTTGCTAGTATTGCAGTGTCAGTGCTCTGTGTTTGGGCCCTTGCCATGGGGTGCTGATACATTTTCAGAAAGGTTGGAGGGTGCAGGGAAAGGCCCCCCAGCACTGAGGCACTTGGACAAAGCTCTGTTGTGAGCACAGAGCTTGCACAGCTCTTGCCTGTTTACAGATGGGCTGTAACTTTTCTCTTAGTCCCCCACTTCGACTGGGGCACTGGTAATTTCACTGGAAGGGGAGATAATAAGTGGACTTGAATATCTGAAGGCTTTTAAAAAGGCATTGCAAAATAGGTGATAGTGTATTCTCATAAAAGCCTGCAAGAGCTCCACAGTGGTATTTAAGCCCTTACAGCTCATTATGCATATGTAACAAGCCCTAAGTAAAAAGCCTTGGGGATTATTATTTCTCATAGGACCAAGTCACTGGATATTCACTGAAGCTGCTCTCCTAGACAGAATAACTCATTGATCCTGATCCATTTTCCTTCCTTTTTTGGGCTAATGCTTAAGCTCAGACAGTGGTTTGGAATACATAATTTTAGTTTGTGTTATTGCAACTCTACGTGGAGAAAGAGCATCACTGGAGAAATTACTCATGGGCAGACAATGTCATTATCTTTTTTGAGCTTGTTTATTTCTCATCCTTTATCTTATGTTTTATGGAGATGAAATTCATGAATGTAACAGTTCCAGCCATGGGGATGTTAGGGTATGTAACTAATGTATGGGCTTTGCTATATTGTGGCCTATTTCAAGAGAGTGTTTGGAAGATAAGGAATTGTTTCTGACAGCATTTAAGTCAATAGATAAACTTGTGATGGCACCAGTAGTGTAGAGTCAGACCCTAATGAAATAAAAACATACTGTTTCCTAAGGAGCCCAGCAGGAATATTTCAGCTGCACCTCGCTGGAACATTTAACTGCTCTTTAACTGATTTTAGCTAACTCCATTGCTTCTTTGTTCATTCTAGTTTGGAAGAACAAGAGGTTTAGCTGATCATCTAGTGTAGCTTCCTGCTATGAAGGCTGTGTTTCACGTGATGGCAAAACAGTGTTTTCTGGCTTTTTACAGTACAAGATACTGAATTGTGGGGTGTTTTAGGTGGTTTTGCTGCAGCAGTGGCACACTGCAGGCCTACCTGAGGCAGTGTTTGGGGGTTGCAAGGGTCTAGTTTTGTCTTTGTACATATTCAAGAATACTGGCAGCCTGATGAATGTAACGTTTTGGTAATACCTCTCTTTTGGTGAGGGTTGTGTTGTAAAAATCATCACTGAGGTAGTTCAGAAAGGATGCAGCCTGTGTGTCTCCAGAAGGAAGGAAGTGATCAGTCTAAATGAGCAAAGCAGACATTATCACTCCCTCTGCTGTTGTGGTATGTAGTTATCAGAAGGAAATCACTGGATAACATTTGGATAACTTCAGTTTGTGTGCTTAGCAGTGACAAAAATCATTCCCAAAGGAGAATTCACTTTCTAACATGGCAGAGGACATTTCTGTACTGTGTGAATTGACATTCTGCTGTTCTGTCATCTCTGGGAAGCAGGTCCAGGTGTGTGCAGCTGTGCACCAGCACCACAGAGTGCAGTCTGATGGAGAAAGCTCCAGGAGCTTCACACTTCCCAACTTACACTTCTGGAAATTCACCCTATTGTGCTTTACCAAGTTTTAATAACCTAGTGAGACAGCTCAAAATTCTGGGTAGACTTTTATAAGAGAAGGGCGAAATTCCTGTAAGGACATCTTCAAAATTGGCAAAAATCTGCACAGCCCACCTTCCCACCAAAATGAACAGGGTATTTCTGAGGATGTTGGAAGTGCAGCCACAGCAAGGTTGGTGCAGTGGGCACAAACTGCACTGGAGGACCCCTGTGGATGTCAGGAAATGCTTTTGTGTGTGAGGGTGGCTGAGCACAGAGCAGGATGCCTAGGGAGGCTGTGGAGATCTCAGAACTCATCTGGGCATGGTCCTGGCTGCTCGAGCAGGGGGATTGGGCCAGGTCTGCTCTGCAGATCTCCACAGCCTCAGCCAAGGCAGGGGTGACTATCTCAAACTTCCTCTCTGTAGGAGAAACTGGATACTTATTTTAAGTAGGAAAACTCTTCTCCTCATAAGAAAAGAAACAATAATTTATTCAGATTTAAAGCTACTGCTCAGTAGAAATGAAAAGACAAATGGTTTGACCTGGAATATATCTGAGAGTTCCCTTAGGACGTTGGTGGCAGGCCATGAGCTTTGCAGGGAAGCACTTGAGGATTACAGTATCAGTCCATAGCTCTTTGGAAGAAACCTATTAAGGCTACAGTATTCGGGTAGCACAGATAGTTGTTAGCTCATCTGAGTTACAAAGGTTTGTTTTACTTGTTTCTATTTGCCTGCCTTTATGTTCTATTTGTCTGCTTTTGCAACTCTCAAGACCACTGATCTCGCCAATGGTGTCTGTGTGCTAAATTCTGAAAATGAGAAATGTCAAGGCTAAAAGTACTGATTAAAGTGTACCACAGGCATGGTGTGTTTAAATCAGACCATCCTTTTTAACATAGAATAACAGTGAAATGCAGGATGGGATTAAAAAAAATAATAAAAGAAGTACTGAAGAAAAGGTCACACTGGTAAACTGTAATTTTGCCACTCCCTGGTTGTTCCAAACTGATGACTGTGACTGTACTGGTAACCCACATTTGTCCTGCATTTCCAGTGGGATTTAGAATTCATTTTCAATAGTGCCTTAAATTGATAGGAAATATTATGGTGCACTGTTCAGTAACTTTGTTGCTTCACACTAAAAGAAGCTGTGTTTCTGTGGTGAATGAAATCACTCCTGTGTGACTTGGGAATAATATTAAGAACAGCAGTGCTGCTGGTCAAAGAGCTTACCAGCACATGGCTTTGTGCTTTTCCTCCACTTGTTCGAAGTGAAAGTTGTTTAATGCTTCATGTGGATTCCCTTCTCACATCTGTCCTGGCCTGTGCTTCACCTGTTGGTCTGGAGTTGTCAGCATATGAATGGTGGTGCATCAGAACAACAAGCACTAGAGCACTCAGCTGTTATTCAGACCTTCCGAGGAGAATGGAAATCTGAATGCATATAGCTTTTTAAAAAGTCAAATAGGATTCTAATTATACTGAGCTAAAGAATGCATATTTAAAAAAAAAAAAAAAACAAACCAAAAAAAAAACACCAAAAAAAACCCCAACCTAAAAACAACCTCACAGTGGTTTTAGAGAAATTTTAATTTCCAGTGTACCTTTGAGCATCAAGCCTAGGATAAGTTATTGTGATGATACAATGCACAGTGTTGTGAACACCAGTGCCTTTACTGTGCCAGCTCTCATAATGAGAATTTCATTGTTTGGGGAGAGCAGTCTCCTACACTCTAGACAAAAGTGTAATTACTTTTGAACGATGTGGAATGTGCTCAGTTTAATAGCATGGAGAATAGATTCACAAAGATTCAGATAAAGCTAGCTTGGAAGCCATATGTGCAGTGTGGCAGTATGAAATTGTTAGCAGGCACCATAATTACAACACACACACGCACACAATTTCACAGTTTAAACTAGAAACTGTTGTTTTTGTAAGAGATAGGCCTAGCTGAACAGGACTAGTTCAATTAAAATAAACCAGAAACAGTGGTAAGTTTGCCTTTGTCTGCTGTTCTTTCCTTCCTCTCTTAGTGGTAAATTGATATTTATAAGATGATGAAATTGCATTGTTGCAAACACTGCATTATAAATGTCATCACAGAAGTGGCTCGTGGGAGCAGTTTCTGCAGATACAGTTTTAGGCTTTTCCCAGAGTTCAGTCTTTACCCTTGCAGCATTTCAGGGAATCACTGTGTGGGCTGTTGGGAAGGGGAACAAATGAAGAAGAATCAGTCAGGACCCATCAAAGAGCTGTAGAAGTTGCTACTGCATTGTTTAGTCCAGGCCCTGGAAAACTCTGCAGCCCTTGAGAACCAGCTGTGATGGAGGCAGAAGCAGCTGTGGTGACTCTCCTGTGCTTTTATGGGATTTTCCTGTGTTCATTGAACCACCCTTTTAACACAGTGACTCCTGCACACTTGTAGCCATGGAAAACCAGGGTGGATACGTTATTCCCAGCAGAAATCCATGGGCAAAAACACCTGCTGAAGTTTGAGGTGACCCATTGGTGTTTTGATCAGACTTTGAAAGGTCCAAAGGGACATTAAAAAAGTAATGAAGTAAGAAAACCTTTTTTTTTTTTTTTTCATTCCCAAGCAGGAGGGTTAAAACTACATTTAAACTAATAACCTGACAAATCAAGACCAGACTTATAATATATATTGCCTGGAATACAGGGAGCAGATGACTGTAGTTTTTAAAGGCCATGAAGAGAAGTGGAAACAGCAGTTGTTTGTTTTTGCTGAAGACCATCTTACTGTGAAGCAGTCATGTTTTTA